CGGTACGTTGTCCTTATTGTATGTCTTCGTAAATAAAGTACTCTTTCTTTCTTTTTTTCTTTTTTTTTTTTTGTTCTAATGAACCTCTGCTCTTTTAATGCCCTCTGCCCATTACTGGCAGACATATCATCCAAGAAATGCCAGTTTTGGACATTTTGGGAGGATAACACATAATATACTTTAAAAGAAGTGAAGGACAATGTTCATAAAGCATATTGCAATTTGTGCAAGAAAACATTTGATGTGGGAAACATGGGAATAACTGCTGTTAAAAGCCATCTGAAAGGGAAAACATGTTAATTGCTGAACCCATTGATATCTTCATTCACACCAAAGATCGCCAGCTTCTTTGCTACATCAAGGTAAGCCAAATCAGCTTATTGTGATGGGTAATCTGGTCTAACAGACAGCAGATCTTCCTGAGCAGATGGCAAGTGTACAGTAACAGCTGTGGCAGTGCAAGGGTCCTTGGAAATTGCTAATGTAATCAAGGCAGAAGTCATCTGGGCACTGCAGGTAGTAATGAGCCACTATTCATTTAATTCCTTTCAGAATGCTTCATTGACTTTGGCACTATGTTTCCTGATTGCAACATTGCACAGAACTTTGCATGTGGAGCTACAGAATGTGCCTACTAATGGAGCACTTAAAACAATGTACAACCCAACTGTATCCAAATTGCTGACTACAGATCTCAATGGATAGCCCAAATGTTAACAGGAGATTGTACCAGAATGCTGAAAGGATCTGGTAAAAACACAGAAGGGTCTCATGAGAGCCAGATATATTATCCATCAGACCCCCATAAGAAATAGAAAATCCATGGTTGCCCTAGAAGATTTGTTGTCAATGTACCTTTAGCTTTAGATAAGTAGCTCCACCTTCCCACCTAAATAGTAAATATAATGAGCTTTTATAGGTACATATAGTTGTATAATTAATTTTTGCATTTTTAGTTTATCTTCATAAAGGTTATCTATGATTAAGATTTAAAGTTTTCATTTCTACAGTGTATATTCATTATGTTCAGGTTTAATGTTTTTCATTTTGTATAGTGTATATAAATATGTTTTTTAATGTTTAGTATTGAGATCATTTGTTTTTACAAGTTACATTTTTGCTTTTAGTGTTTAGGTTAAGCTAATGTAAGATTTAGTTAAAAGGATTGTTTTTTATTTCTTTGTTTCAGTGTTTTTGAAACATTGTATCAACTATTTCCTCCTAAAGTGGATACATAACAACTGTTTATAGGTTTTAAGTTTAAAGATTTTTCATTTTTTTTTGTGTGATTTCGAGACCCTGTGTTGAACATTTTCGTTATAGTGTATTTTATTTTATCTATGTTTAAAAGCATTATTGTTAGCTGTCTCTTCTTAAAGAGGACAAGTTCTTTTGTTGAAGGGTATTATTTTATGTATCTTGTTGTTAAAGGGTTATTCATTGTATTTAATTTCATTATTAAAGGTTTCTTATTTTTTCTTGTAATTACATGTAGTCTGTGAGACTGTCTCCTTGTAAAGTGAATAGTGAGTTTCATTAAAGGTTATATTCATGTAATTTACTTTTAATGCAAGCATAGTTTATTAGAATACCCCTCCTAAAGGGAGCAGGTGAGCTATAATCGTATCTTGTATTGTATTGATTTTCCTTCTGCGCATATCCATGTTTCAGAGGAACTAGTTTTACTGGGTTAAGGGTAAGTTATTTCAATTTTTTGAAAAACTACACAATTAAAGCTTGATTTGGTATTGTTGTTTTTTGATAGTTTTATAATTAGAGATGGCCTGGTTAGCTTGGAAAGTAACAGGGAAGGAAATGTGTAATAACGAACTTTACCGTGTTTTGTACCCACTTAACTACTGTGTAATAATGTGTATTTTTTATCAATTTTTGTTTGGACACACTTTCTCTTTCACAAGAATGCATGGTGTTTTTGTAATTGGCTATAATCCTTGTTCTTTTGCAAAAAAGGTAACTTGTAATGAAGTTCAAGAGATGATTGTTTTTCTGGTCATTAAACTAATGATCACCACACCCTTTGTACATGTGACACTACAGGTACATGTCCTCTCATCTTATTGTCTTCAGAATACAACACAGGTAAATCTTATTGATCCCCTTGAAAATCAAATAAACTTCAATGAGATCACCTCTTATCCCTCTTTGCTGAAGAGAATATTGGATAACAAATCTTAACCTATCTGTAGGAGATAACCCTTCCATCTCCAGAATCCTCCTAGTAGCCCTCCTTTGAGCCTTTTCCAATAAGGCCATATTTTTTCTTAGATAACAAGACCAAAACTGTACACAATATTCCTAATGCAGCCTAACTAGTGATTTATATGAAGAGATAATTACCTTTTGTTTGATTTGTAATATATGTGATTATAAATACACCTTAAAATTCTATTGGCTTTACTGCTAGCAACAGAGCAATGCCTTGATACACTTCTGTATGAAGATTTCTTTTTTCAGTCATACTGTAGATTGGATTCCTACCTAAACAAAATGTATGGTCCAAATGATTATAACCCAAATGCACTTTCTATAAGATAATTTGCTAGATATTTATTCAACTTATTAAATGATCTAAGACATTTTGTAATACCTCAAAATTTTCAGTACAGCTAGAAATACATAATAGTTTCGTGCCATCAGCAAACTTCATTAATTTATTAATTATGCCCATATCAATCTTATTATAATGGAGCTTGTGATGTATCCGTCCAAAACTCAGATCTCGAAAACAACTGCACCAATCATAACTGGGTAATATTTTTATAACTAGGCGGTATTTTTATAGTTGAGGAATAAATGAAAAATTGAAATTTCCACAAAAAAGGAGTAAGTTTCAGATTTAAACAATAAAAATTACAAAAAAGGAGTAGGTTTAGAATATAAAACAATCAAAAACAAACTTAAAAGAAATTATTTGATTTTCTTTAGTGAAAATCTCATGAGTGTTTCAACAGAAAAGCAAGGCACATCGTTGTGTTGGATGGCTTTTCAGTGTTGGACCGAGTCGTTATATAGCCATAATAAGTAGTCCAGTTTTGTTGTTCTATATATTTTTCAGAGATACCATCATCAATGAAAGGAATTTTAAAAGTAGCCTTATTCTTTATGCTCCTTTAATTCTTTGTTGATCTGTTTGAATTTTTACCACAGAAGTGTATGATGTGTAACTGTTTTTGTATTCTTTGAAAATATGTACTAAGTAGGATAGTAAATGTTCACAGATTAAGTGAAGGAAGTTTAACTCGGAGTTGTTTGAATGGCTTCCCTGCTGAAATATAATTTTAATAAGACCTGTTTAATTCTCTAATTATTATACCTTTAGCAGACTGTGGACAATGCACATCAATGTTTATTCGATAAATCTGCTCATGGTACTTTCACGAGCTGGCTGAAAATTTTTCTCCAGAGGATTGCTGTACCCTGAATTCTTATGTTAGCTCTCTTCAAATGGTGCATCTAATCAGAGTTTCTTATGGCTAATGCTTGCTGTCTTTTGGTGTTAAATTGTACCTAGATCTCTGCTACTTCTAAGTTTGCATCGTACCTACATCTGACCTATTCAGTTCACGCTCTTAATTCCAATAATATTACTGGAAACCACTGGTAGCACCTGCTTTAGCGTGGTTGGATTGCAATGTTGATAGTAGGAATTATATCAGTGGTGTATCATCTTATGTGGTATCACCTTATGCCTAACGTACAGAAGGCTTCTGATAAGTGCCTAATTAGTGTGCATAAGGTTATTTTCAAATATCACTAGAATCTATTTCTCTTAGTTGTCGGATTCCATGATCATAGAATAATGTGTCAGGTCTTGTGTGGTTCCTCAGCTTTTTCAGTTCACTTGTTTTCATTCCTGGTGATTTCCAAGATGCCTTGTTTTGTTTCTTACAATTCATTTATAACAGTGGACATGTGCCTGTCAGAGTCTATTTCACATTAGATTGTGGGTGTTTTGTGGTACTTACTACATTAAATCTCTTATTCTATGTATCATGATAGATTCAAACTATCTGTGGTGCAACAGTACATATGAAAATTCAACACAACATTTTAAAAATTTAAGTAGATTTTAGAAACTTGCATATCTTTTTATAAGCTGAATTCTAAGAAAAAGCATAATATATTCTTAAGAATTGTAAGAATATCTAGTAGCTGTTTAACAGTACCCATCAAAATCAGGAGTGGGTTGATGACCAATAAATGCTAGGGTAACATACAATTAAAAAAGACCCAAGTGCCTTATTTTATAGGTATGTTTCTTGTTAATTATAAACTGTGTTTTTTCTGATTTATTTTAAATTCTTACATTTCTGTATTTATTACATGAATGCTCATTATTTTGCTTTAAAAACAAATGTACATTTTTCACATTAGATACCTTTGATGGATTTGACACAAAAGTACTTGAGGTAAGTAAATTTCTAATAGTAATAGGACTTCTTCTGATATAGTGTACATCTTTTCTTTTTAATATGGTATAATATTTATGGAGCATGAATCCTTATTTCTGTAACACTTTTTGAGCTGCTGATATTTTGTATTTTACATTTGTAGTCTTAACTATGAGTGTGTTAAATTCATTAATGTAATATTGTAAAAAGAATCATGAAAATGCATTAGATATGTAACATACTTGCTTTTTTTCTGGATCAGAATTGTTGGTTGCAAAAATGGATACATGTATGTGTTTATATTTCAGTAATCCTCAAAAGATTGGTTTGCATTGAACTACAATGATGGAAATCTTAAACTATCGGTGTAAAACTGTTGTATTTCTGTACTTTGTGTGTATGAATGGTTGTTTCAATAAAAGTGAACTTTATGCTTGATGTTACTTTCAAAAACACACTCACAGTTTTTTTTCAATTGTAAATTTTTTGTTGTCTGTGTGAGTAATGGTTAGGTGGTACTTCATTAAAAGGCAAATAGTAGAAATTGTTTCAATCTCAGTTTTTAAAATTACCTTTTTTTGAGTTTTATGCATGAAAATGTATCTAATATTTAGCTCGCTTGTTTGTGGAACAGTACCAAACATATGATATAGTCGTAGAGTGTAGGACACCATGATTTTACATGTTAATGCTTTTTAAATGAAAAACTGAGTCACTAATTATTTGCTTTTAAACTGCACCTTTGTGTCACCATTCAAATATCTTGTGTTTTTAGATTTTTGTTATTTTCTTTTAAATTTAATTCAGTTAGTTTCCAGTGCATTATGGAGTTGATTGATGATGTTTTTTTATATATTTGACCATGGTTTTTAATTTATAATTATATAGATGAAGACTGTATTTAACATGAAAGCAAACTTTGGTCGAACAAGAAGAATGAGTGCTCTGTGTGTCACAGGGAACAAAAATGGACTAGCTGGTATGTGGGAATGAGGAATTTTGATCTTAGATATTGTGGTGTAAAATGTCCAAGCTGGCAAATCAGTGAGATTAATTAGGTCACAAAATGTGATCAAAATGAAATCTGACTGATGCTATATTTTATTGATTATCATTTCTAGCCAGCATAAAGGCTTTTTTTTTCACCGCAGCATTAAATTTGTTGTACTACATATAGATAGTATTTCATATATAATTTTAGTTGTCCTAACTTCAGATCAGCTATTGGGTTCTGGTATCAATTGAAAGGTTGTCTGTAGCAAAGTAGAGATAGCTTTTAAACTGTTGCTTTAGAACTGGGTGATTAGTGGAATTTCCTAATCAGTTGATAACCAGGCTCATCAAAGAAGTCATTTTGATTTTTTTTGCAAAAAATATCGCTCTTAATATGGTTGATTTATTCAAAACAACTCAAGATATTTATAGCTATCTTCATCAGAGCAACACCTAGTCTATCATAAAAGAGAACAATTGATGCCCTTTTTAGTGTATATTCTAACTTTGGAGGGCCTATAAAGTCTAGAAACATAAAAATTAATAGTTGAAATTCAGTATTGGACTGACTTTTTTTCCCCTCTTGTTCACTTTTCTTAGGTTTTGCTTTGGGAAAGTCTCCAGAAGGTAGGGCTGCTATGAGAAAGGTGAGAAGCTTAAACTTATTTTGACTACAAATAAGAATTATGAGTGATATAACATAGGCATTTAAATGTAATAGGACATTAAATAGGATAATCATAGTCAGTTTTCTTCTGAGTTTCAAATGCTGAATATCATATTGGAGGTTTGCAGATGAAATAAATACAAGTTTTGACAATGTATTTCAAAACATTTGTGTTATTGAGTACAATTTTAAAAAAAGTCAGTTTATAGTATAAGTTATGTTCTATCAAGATTTTTTTTGAGCAAGTTTAAGGGTGAAGATGGTTTTATTTAGTTTTTCATGAAGGCAGAAGATCCTGATATTCCAAAATGTTTATGAAAATGGCCTATCCATTCTATACTCAAATACTTATAACTTTTTCATGTAAATCAAAAACTGTTTTCAACTAAATTATTTGTTTTGTCAAAATTCTTAGGCAGTAAGTTGTGTTTTAGCAATGTGATTTGTTAGTAGTAATACAGTCATTTTAAGTTAGGAATAAATCTGTAAGTTTTCACTTAAGCATAAAGGTTTATTTGGCCTATCTGTAAAAAACTGAAATAGATTCAAAATTGTCATTAGAATTTCTAAATGATAAGACAAAATGTAATGTTTGACAATATTATTAAAAGTAGTCTTGTTGGTTTCAAAGTTCATTCAAATATCTGAATATCTCAAATATTCTGATGCAGTAATATATGACAATGTGTTGCTCATTAAAGTTCTGCTGTGAACATTAAGTACAACATGAAGTTGTTATTTTCTAATAGCACTGAGAAACGTTTTCTTTAATGTTATATATATATATATATATATATATAT